TGAGCCCAAAAAGCCATTTACAGCAGGGTGAATGATTGTAAGAGTGATGTGGCTCCCACTGACAGTACTGCAAGTTCACAGGATCCTGCCAATCAAAGGTGTAGTGGTTGCAAGTTTAAAAAAATTAAAAAGTAGGCAGCCAAGGATTTTTTAAAGTTTTATTTTTTAAAAATAGGCAAGCCAAGAGAGCATGGTCATCTCCAGCAGTACTCCAGCAGTTAGTTGTACACCACAAGAAATTCTGGTCCTAATAACGATACAACCTAGACTTGGACCAGGAATGTCTGTATGATGGGGCTTGAGTGGGCCTTGCATTCCAAATGTGTTTAGTGGCTGAGTCATGCAGGCGTTATTAGAAGTTGAACTCAAGTCCCCCCTTGTGATCCCCAAAAATGTATTTTTCCCCAATCCCCAAAAAACGGGAGAAAAACAATCTCTGACTCTCCTAAAATGATGCATTTTAGCATATGTCCCTGAGTTATAATTCCATTCAATCAGAAAATCCTGAATCATGAAAAGGATGTAAGAAGCATTTTTGAAAGGATGCCCAGCAAAAATAGTTGCTCTCCTGCACAAGGTTAAAAGTTACTGGTAAAAAAAAAAATCACTAAATATCTAAAATGTTTGTGGATCACTGTTTCCCACTGTAGGTTACATTGCTGGAATACTTACTCATTATAGACTGAGATTTCAAAAGGTTTGAATTTTCAAGTAAAAGACCTATAATAATTTATTGTAGTCTAACAACAAATTGTGTTGGCTTGGACATCATTTTAGTTCATACAGTAGTTCATTTTTTTCACTAAGATGGATGTTAGAGTGAGTGGCCATTTGATGGCCATTTGCTGGATTCATAAATATAGTTAATAATCTGTTTTCTTTTCAAATACCTTGTTGAATAAATTAATAAGGAAAATTACACTGACTTGTTAAAAAAGCCCATGTTCATTATTTTATGATTACATTTTTGAGGTGGTACAATTTTACTTAATGGCTGCAATTATATAACAATAGTCTGAGTAATAATATTATTGCACTACATTTACTAGCTAATAAGGTTGTATAAATATAATTTCATTCCTAATCTGAAGTGTAACTGCATTTTTCAATCACCTGAAGGGACTGAAAGATGTCTTATGTTCTCAAATGTAACAGCTGAGGTTAAATCAATTGGCTACTCAATAAGGCTGGACTTTAGTCATTAACCTAATTTTAATCCATGTCACTTATAACACAGTAGCCGTTTGGGATAACAAAATCTATGAAAGGGCTTGACTTCTGAAATCTAATGTTGAAATTTATTTGTACAAACAAGGAATATTTATTAAGAGGGCGTGAGCTTCCAAAAAAGAATAATAGTGATAAAGAAACCCAATTCAAGAGACCTTTTCAGTCATCTAGAACATATATAAATCTGAAGGTGGTTTTTAATTGAAACATATGCAGTAAATAATGGGTCGCACGTTAAAAGGTGAAGTGTTTTAATTTTAGGTCATTTTAGATTGCTTACATTTTTCTCATACCTTACTATTTCCTTTGAGTGCCTTAAACTGGAGTTGTCCAACTGAGGGGTAATCTGAGTTTGTCTCTTAGACTTACATACCACCCATCACCTACAGTTAATTGCTACACAGGGAAATTCCTATAGAGACTTGTAAATCAAGCTGCAATAACGATAATTAGAATGTATTTTACTGAACCGCACATAAATTAAAATTCATCCAGAGTTTCCAGAGTCTTTGGCATACAGTATGTACATTTCATAGTGTTCTCAAACCAAAATTCTCTTCTTACTGAAAGGAATTAAAATTTGAAGCATAAAATAAATGTTTAGTAAATGTTTTTGTCCAGCTATTCATAATTAGAATTTAAACACAAACCACTGATAATATCAAATTACCAGCTGGATATCGACAATTATCGTAATTCATTTAAAAACCTCACATACAGTAAATGCAGTTTGGGACTGAGAATCTATATTAATGATCGAAAGCACCAATTAAGCTTCATCCAATAATTGCTTTGCCTTGTGACCATTAAGAAATGGCATTGCTACTTTCTTTATCCCATAGGTTTTGAAATGTTTCTGTTTCTATGGACACAAAGGTTTCTTTACTGGACTTTGCTTTGGTCTATTTACATTGTGTTCAGCCCTTAGCATCTATGTCTTACAGTACTAGCTATAGTTTTTCGTGGCTTTTGTGGCATAATGGTGGACTTTAAGACCCTAGTTGTTAAGTCTTTTGTCTCAATATTTTTGTATGCGTTAATCCTTTTGCATTGTTTTATTTATTAAACATTACCATTCATTATTCTCTTCAGAATCACAAATGCAAGAAGTAAGATAACATGCATATAAAATATTCCATTATGCTAAATCTAGGAATGAAAGTCACTAGTGTGGAGTTGAGACTTTTATTTGTTGGTTGTTACTTTCACTGCAAAAAGACAGAAGTTATTCTCCTTGCATCTGCCAAGTGTGTTTGAACTGTCTGTGCTTCCTGAAGTGAACTGAGAGCTGTGGCAGCTGCTGTCGCCTCAGCCGCCATTGGCCCAGGCAGCACCATTACATAAACTCAAGGTGTAGTAAAGACACACAGAGGCTGGAGGAAGAGCTGACATTTCATATACCCCCAATATAAATATGATCTGAAGATGAGCCTGCTTGCCCCTGGCAACACAGCAGAACGGAGTCTCTGACTATGATTTCTTTGTGTTGAAGAAGGGTGATTTTATTAAAGCTCATTTCTACACATTTTACCATTTCTTTACCACTTTAAGATTAAATAGGATTAAATTCCAGTTAATGCAATATATTTTAATCAACTAAACCACAAATCCATGACATTTAATTCGTCTCTATTTACTACTTCCACATGTGAGTATCAAACAGTCTTGTTCGCCTGAATTAAAATCAAACAGTTTGGTTTGGTGTTGTGATAGAGTTACTTCTAATTATACAATGTTAGTCGAAAGATCAGCCCAAGCAAAGAAGGTTGTGTGCTACAGATCTGTAGATAGTAAGAAATTGGTAGAGTGTAGTAATTACATTTCATTTCATGCTTGATAAACCCAATTATAAACACCCCCATCTGTTTGCTTGCTGCAGCTCAGAATGTGATTCCTATGCATTAATGTTTCAAGAGTGTGGTGCTTGGCTGATAGAGAAAAAAGATTTTCTTCTTGACAATGCAGCCTAAAGTTTGGAAACGTATCTACCTCTTGCACTCAAACTGGAAACTTTTTTTTTCCAGATGATCTCACCTCTGATGTTTAGCTTTTTTTACCTGCTTGGCCCCAGAGCCTGCAGACCAGTTTATACGCTAGCTGGTAAATGAAAACCTATTAACTTAGCTCTTTTCTGGTATATGTGTTTACTAAAAACAGTGTATAAAAGTCCCATTAAAAATAAAACAAAAAATGAATAAAAGTCTTATAACATTTTGAATATTTGTAAAGGAGTATGTATTGGGGTCATGTAAGTTTTTTTTTTTCTCACTGCTGTTTTAGACTATTAAAGTTTTAAATAATGACCATGACAATAAGGGCATTTAACGTTTCCCAGACTGTTTGCAAGTTGTAATATTAGAGATTTTTTATCTTAAATTGAGTTGCACAATATATTGGTTGATGCCTTCACTGACTTTCATGTAACCAGCGCTTCAGAAAAAAGCACAACTGAAGTAAAGATTTTACATGTTTTCTAGAGGGCAGGAGAAATCTCTTCATCTCCCTAGGAGAAATTTTCACAAGTAAGTGAAATTCTGTCATGGGTCACGTAGTATCTCATACCACAGAAAATGAATTATATATGGTATATCAATCTGTAGCCTTCAGCTCTCTCATTTCTGAGCACAGACATGCCATCAGTGTCTCTCTCTGCTGTATCAACCAAGCCAAACCTGAGAAGACAGCGGGTGTTGGTGATCATAATACACCCTGTGATCGTTAAGTGCTCAAGTTAATGTACAGCATAGCAAGAACAATAGGATGATTTTTCAAAGGTTATATGCCTGATAAATACTTTTAGAGTGTTAAAATGAGTAAATCTCTGGTCTCATAACTGACTGGTTGTAAGTCTCTGCTGTAGACCCGCTGTTATTCCTTAGTAAATTCCAGTACTTTACCCCAGTTGCTCCAGTCCATGCAATGGTTTAAAAAGGGGACCAGTATTGCAGGGGGGTAATCCCTATAGTGGACAAGTGTTCCTTCCAGGAGGGAGTCATGTGCTCTGTCATCTGTCATGGAAGCCAAAATAATCTCTAGCCTGGTTACCTGCTGTGGCTCAAACAGAAATTACCTACTGTATCTACCTTCATCATATTTTTATTTAATATAATATATACTTTTATATGTTAATATTAATTTAATGTTATTACATATAACATATGTAATTAGAATTATACACATAATTTTACCTGTTACAAACATAGTAAATGGTGTAGTTGTTAACAGGATTAAAAAGGTCTAGTACCTCTGCTTTCAGAAATGTCCATTTCATGACTTACACGTTGAAAATAAAAGTCTACTTATTATTGTTTATGGATCTCATCACTAGGAAGTTTTCAGTTTGTAGAATGAACCTTCTGTTGAATGTACAAACCTATTATTACTTAATTAATTTAAAATAATATTTCCCTTCAATGGTCTGAAAGGAGTGAGTACTTTAAAGAATATTCAGGTTAGACTCATTTTTCAGGCAAGTGTCTGCAAGTGCTCCTTTCCAGGAACATTCCCCAAATTAGGTACTGTATTTGGAATAAGATACATGTGATAACACCATCTCTATAGTGTTTTTTCTTTCTTTAACAAAATGACCCTGGATTACTCTTGAACTGTAATTTTTTATGAGCTTTTGGGGTACATCAGTGAGAAATCTTCATTTTCAATTATTATTCTTCAGCTTGGTATGTGGTACCAAGTCTGTGCAGCACTTGAACAGTTGTCATAGCAACTACCCTGAGATACTGTAGAACATTTTCCTGATGTTTTCCTGAAAGCCTGGGCAGACGCACGTTTTGGGGATTTGGATACATTGGTATGACATTGACTTTTAACAACATTTCATTTTTTGCATTTATATTATTCACAATTTTTCCTTCAGTGATTTTCTGTCTGCATTGTGTTGTTTTTTTAAAGTGCCTTTCTGACTTTCAGTAAATTGACATTAACAAGAATAATCTGTATTTTTTGTGGTAGAAGGCACCTTTGTATATTTGCATAAAACATAAATGGAATAAATAAGCAATCAAATACTTTCACATAGACAATTTATGAAATTGACTGCAGAAAATGGTTACATTAAACTTATTGCTTTCACTGATTTTGTAGAGCCATCCATTTATTTTTTAGGTTTATTCATCACACAAATGCTTCAACGTAAGTGCATCAGACTCTTAAAATAACAGGGTAATCACAGATGTTCCAGCAAAGTGCTTTACAACAGCACTGCCATGAAAAGGCTTAATAGGTGAATTACTAAATGAATACATTTTCTCTCCCAAAGAAAATGGTTAGTAATGGTCAAAGAACACAACGGTTTAAGAATTATCACGAATAGCCACCCTGGATTATTGTTGTTGTTACACGTACATGTAATATACATGTAGCACATATCTTTACTAAATGATACTTAAGAAACATTATTACAAACAAAAAAGCAAAAACCTACAGATAACTGTAACTAGGATACATAGAACAACAAGAACAGTGATACAATAAAACTTATTGTACATCATAACCTAACGAAATAAGAAATACCAACACAACATTTTGTAGAGAAGTAGCAATGCAATATGTGAAGAGAAAGATAAAATAACCAAAATAAAGGAAAAATAGTTACATTTAGTCATGGTTAAGTATATTTTGGAAACTACAAATATTCACACATCTGTTACAATGCTTTTCTAGGTATTGCTGAGAAATCATGCATAACCGGTAAGTAAATTAGATATGTTTGTTCTTGCTTTTTGTGGGTACTATTTGTCAGTTAAAAATATGTTTATAGGGAAAATTCTCAGTTAAAGTGAAGTCCAAACAAACTGGTATGTGAGTTTTCTAATGTGAAATGACATACAGTATACTGTATGTCACATGCACTGAATAGCTGGAGGCCTTGGTCTGACTTGTTAGTGATAATGAGAAGGCCATCCTCGAAGCCCTGCATCAGGACTTCAACAAGCTCAAGTGTGAGGCCCTGCTGTCAGAGATAGACATGGTTTTGAATGAAGAGAATTGAACCGTTAATGACTTTGGGATATGGATGCAGTATGTTCTTCCCGTGCCTATTTGGGTTTCTTCCAGATACTTTGGTTTCCTCCTCAGTCCTTGGTCTTGGGAAAACTGGCCCAGTTGTGAGTGTGTATGTCTGTTTTATCTCCCTGCCCTGCGATGGACTGGCATCCCTTCCAGTGTGGACCCTACCTTTTTCCCAGTGCTTGCCGGGATAGGCTCTGGCTCCTCAATGACCTTCAATTGGAAGAAGTGGTTTGAAAATGGATGAATGACTGAAAAACAATTTGAAAGTAAACTGAAGCATGTTGATATAGAAACCAAATGAGCAAAGTCCAAACCAAATATTTATTGCCACCATATGGAGGAAGCAAACATCTTTTGTGGAAAAAAGCAAGTCCATCTGTCACCTTTTTCTATATAACTGTATGGTTGAGAAACAAAAATATTGACACAAGTTTTCTGCTGTCATCACTGAGTAGCTGTTCCTGAAAATTACTTCAGGCTGTTAATGTGTAAATCAGCTTCTTCATAAACTTGTTTATTGACCAAAGGAATATTTTTCATTATGGATGCAAAGTGATATTTCTTGATGTATATTAACTTCAGTTAATAGTTATTTTACACTGGTATAAAAGTTATAAATATTCTTAATAGGTAGAGACTGGAGACATAGTAAGCTAATAAAAGGAAAAAAAGAAAAGCCAATGACTGAAATTGAATCATTTTGAATTATTTTGTCTATTTTGTCTATGCTGATGTACACATGTTTATAACTAGTTTTTGCATTTGGCTATTTGTTGCACTGGCTGACATATGTTATACAGCAGTAAGCCCTTATGTGCTTCTCAAATAAGAATGGTTTTGATTGGAAGTCTAATAAAGTCTAGTCTATTTTATTTATTTTTGTTTATAAGAAACTGCTTTATTGCCTTCTTGAACTTCTTGAAGATTCCGCATAGCTGCTTTTCATTGGCAGTCCCCCTGGAACCTCCAAAAGTTCATCCATTGACAGTTTTGTATACGTCAGCATATGCTAGCTATGAAGTGACAAGTAAATGTTAATTCCACGCTGAAAAACAGAAAGGAGAAACACCACATTTTGGCTGTTGGCCCTTTTGTGGATATAACTTTCCTCTGTAAGAGGAATGTGAATAAGCCCAGTATTGACCAGTCCAGACTGCCTAGTTCTTGAGATAGAACGATATCAGGCTACAAGGTGTAAAGGAACAGTGTACTCCACAAGGAGTGTTGGTTGGTGTAACTTTTTGCCTGAGATGGCTGAGCACAAGGCTTCAGGAAATCCAGAACCACTCAAGTGATGTTATTCCACCACAATGCTCACCCTGGGGTGCTTGACTCCCATTACACAAATGCTTGTTTAAGTGAAAAAAACAAAACAGAAACTTTTAACTAATATTCTTCTGCCATGTAAAATAATTCTAGTCCCATTTGTCAGTTTTGGCAGCCTGGTCTTCAAGTAAGCAGTTACCACAGAGGTGTCTGTGAAATTATGTCAGGATATTTCATAGTATCCAGTAACATATGCCCTCCACAGCCTTGTGCCATATAAAACATTTATAGTTAAATCGATGTAAAAAAATGTCTAACACACCAACTGAAATGCTCTGAGCATATATACAGCAATGAATGTATGTATTCATACAGACGCTCAGTTCTTCTACTTAATGTCTTCATATAGTTTATTTATTAAGTTTCCAGTGTCACCTGTATAAAGGTAATTTACTTTTCCCTTTATCATTGTCACTTTAAAATGAAGTGTGTCTTTGCTCACTTGTTTGTGAAAGAATTATGAGGTGTTGAAACTTATTTGATTTTTATCAAAAAATAAAATTTAAATTTTTTTATGATACTCCAAGAAATTTATTCTTGGAGTATAATAACAAATATGGAAGCTATTTTTCTTTTATATTATTTTGTTTTATATATACATGTAACTGCCAAAATAAAGGAAACACCAACATAAAATGCCTTAATAGGACGTTGGGCCACCACGAGCCATCAGTACAGCTTTAATAGACCTTGGCACAGAACTCTACTGGTGGGATGCAACACTGTTCTTTCATGAGAAATTACATAATCTGTGTTTTGTTAATGGTGGTGAAAAAAGCTGTCTTGAGCTCCATTTTATAATCTCCCATAAGTGTTCAACTGGGTTGAGATCTGGTGACTGGGCCTGCCATGGCATATGGTTGACATTGTTGTGATGTTCATCAAACCATTCAATGGCCCCTTGTGCACTGTGGATGGGGGCATCGTCATTCTGGAAGACTCCCTTCCCATCAGAATAGTAATACTTCACCACAGGATGAGCGTGATCACTTTTGATCAACTAGAACTGCCCAGCATTTTTTTTACAAACCAAAGAATGATGAGATGTTAATTGTTTAACTTGAGAACCACACCTATGTTGATGTACCTGCTTTTGATATACAGTACTTTGAATTCCTCATTTACTTCAGTGCTTCCTTTATTTTGGCAGTTATCTGTACATACAGTACATACTGTATATCATGTCAAGATGACATTCCGTACTATAATTATTTTAGTCACAACCAACCTGAGATCAATATATTATCTTTCCATTGTAAAAACAAAACAATACAAAACATAACATGTTTGTTGTTCAGTTTTCATTTTTTTGTTAAACTGATTCTAGGAAAAAGCCTGTGAGATTGATGGTAGCAAACGTCAATTTAGGAGTCTACACTTGCACTAGTTCACAAAATATATCTGTAACTTTATTGAAAGGTTATAATACACTGCTAAGTTTCATTTCTCTTGACTTCAAAGTTCTTTCTCTAGAACAGCTGAGGGTGTTTTGTTGGAATTTTCCCACTCTTCACTCTTGAGTCACTGATTCGGTTTTCTGTGTCGTGTATTCTCCTTTTATAACACAAAACTTTTTTCTTCATAATTCTCATTAGCAACAACTGTGACACTTGTTTTCAGTAACTATGTTGTGAAAACCCACAACCTAGATACAAACACCCACACATAAATTGTAACTTCACACAATTTAAATTAACAGTTGGTTCTCTTAAATCAGAAAATTGCTGGAGATATTAAATAAATGACTTTGTTTTGAACAGGTGGCTCAAATGCTTGAAGTAATAATAGAATTTCTTTTCAGCAGAAGGTTTCATAGTTTGACAGTGATTTTTTACATGAAACAAAACTGCATATCTCTTTCGTCCCTGTTCTTTCAGCCCTAATGTTATTTCTAATTTCCTGAACTTGCAGGAGGTAAAAAAATGGTATGAAGAATGTGTGAAATATGTGGTTAAAGTAGGAACACCTTTAAATGCAAAATAAAAAAACAAGTTTATTACATGAGGTCTTCACAATTCAATAGAATTTCACTACCAAACCCAACAGAAATATAAAACACCAAAGGCTGGATATAAAAAAGACATGCATGATAGACACTAAACTACAAGTGAAAGTACACAAAAGACAATGAAAGAAGGGAATTATGGGGGTAGGGAAAAACAGGGGACAGCATTAAAGTCGGTTTACTAAATGTGTGCATCACAACAAAAATCATACAATCTGTTATGCAAATGCAAATCAAGAAGCCTACCAAAGATAATGATTAATTATTGTTAAGTTGCTTGAATATCTATTTTGAGTGTTTCAGGTGGCCTGAATAAGAGCTTGACCATTTTCAGAAAGGAATATCATTTTAAATTCTAATGCTCGACTTATCCTACATCCTAAATGATTGTAAGTATTAATTTTCCTTTGCAAGAATCAAATACGGAGTCAAGAAAAGTTCAAAATGAATTGCCTGAATATTTCATCAACATTGATGTCTTGAATAACCCCTTTAAGATTTCTGTCCTGCTCATATTCTTTGTAGTTGAAACTGAAACAGATGGTGTTCATTTCCTGTGTCACACCTTCATCCCACTTCCTGGTATTCTGCACAGTTTCTGGAAGGATGTTGCTGCCATATTCTCCATCCTCTCCAGCTGGGGGATCCCAGTATGAAAGGTGGAGGAGAGGCTGTTACGGGAGGTGGGGTCACAACTGAATCCAAGCGAGATGAGAAGACAAAGACCTGGACAGCAATCAGGGTCAGAAGAACTTCCACGGGAGGAAGCACAAAGCTGAGGGATGGACACTTCCACAGGATTTATGGCATGTAAATTCACACCGTAATATGCGGTTCATTAAAAACGCATTCCCTTGAAGGATATCTGGAATGTCACTTGCTTTGCCTGCGCCTTAACCTCCACGTTCATTCAGCTCCACCCACGTCATTTATACGGCAGAAACCCATATAGTGGAAGCTGTGTTCTCTGTTATATGGATTGCAAAAGCTACAGTATACGTACATAAAAGAAGTGAATCTTTTAGCTTTGTTTTGTTTAGCAAGAGGAAGGGATGTTACAGTGGGGTGGTGCAGTTTCCAAGAGTCTTTCCTGGCATTAAATAGTGAGATATGATGTTATAAACAAACATCTAGCACCGAAACATGTGGTGCATTGCTGTTGCACACTAAAGGAAACTCAGTAAATCTCCTGTTACCTGCAGGTTACATGTTCCTGGTAAGGACTGTAGCAACCCTAAGACTCTCAGAAACATGGTCTGGAAGGCGGGACTGCACCCTTGGATGTCTGGGCACATACAGGGACAATTATCAGACACAAATTATCCTCAGCAGAATGTCTGGATTTTTTGGAAGAAACAAAAGCACAAAATCATGCAAAAACAAGCAAACACCACACAGCAGGCAAAACCTAAAACATTGGACTCAAGGGCTAGAACTGCATAAACATCATATCATGGATGATTAGCCCCAGTCTGCAAATATTGCAAATCATGCAAATATTTTACTGCAAGATTGAATTTCTGGATTTTTTTATTTTTATATGTGTTTCTGTTTTGATGACACACTGAGAATGAATTTCTAAGTGATGACATTGCTTCTGAAAACAGATTCTATGAAAACCTTGTAATTTAAAAGTAAATTAATAAATTCAAAGTAATTCAGCAAATTTAATATATACTGTATAACCTTGAAGATCTCTCTTTTTATGTTTTATTCACTCCCATTCTCCATTTGCTGATTAACCTGGCCTTATCTCTAGGGATATGGAGGAAGGAACATTTTGCCTCCCATGTTGAAATTCTCACTATCTGAGATCTACAGTGTCTATCACAGAGTCAGAACAAATTGGGGGGGCATCACATCACTGTTGACACCACATGCTTGTGGATCCCCAACTAGTTGTTGCTAGGCAAGCTTAGGACACCTTGGCTGGTTACCGTGGTTACAATGCTGCTGGCACTGACACTTGAGAAATTTTTACCCAGTTTCATCTCACAGTTTTAAACTGCTGCCCTACTCCTTTTTTCATTATAAGCTTTTTATTCTTTGTTTGCTGAGAAGTCACTCAAAGAAAAACTACTGTTTGTGACTGAGCAGGAACACTATTTTACAGAAAACAATTTTTTAAAAGAAGCTTAATCTTCTTTGTGTGACTATGAAATACATAATTTATTGAGTATTTTATTTTACCTAACAGATGCCTTTCTTGACAGTATTTCATAAGGTTTCAGAATCTTGTAAGTGCTGGTGACTTCAACAGATACTGATTAATGGATATCCAGGATGAAAATGCAAGAAATGCATGGTATTTGAAATGTTCATTGAACTCCAAGAACAAGTTCTGAAACAAATAGCTAACATTTTTCTGAAAACTAACTGGATTCTTCTGAAATGAAGAATACTTTTAGGTATCTGAGACACCCTTCCCTTTATAGACTTAATATTTTCCAAGGCTATATACAGTACATAATAATAATGATAACCATCAGGCAAAGGTTCAGGGGCAGAAGCAGTGACTCCTCCTCCTCTCTTATTCTCCTTTTAAATAATAATAATAATAATAATAATAATAATAATAATAATAATAATAATAATAATAATAATGTATTCACTTATAAAGCTCTTTTCTGGACACTACACTCAAAGCACTTTACAGTTAATGGGGACTCCTCTCCACCAGCACCAATGTGTAGCCCCACATGGATGATGCAATGACAGCTAAACTGTGCCACTACACTTGCCTCACTGGGAGGAGAACAGAGTAATGAAGACACTTCCTAGATTAATATTAAATATTAATATTTCAAATAATCTATTTCAATATTACTTCTATCGGTATTAAGAAAATAGGGGGATTTGTTAGTCTTTTTTAATATTAGTAGTTGCTTAAAGTTTGTAGTTTGCCACCATTATCTAGGTACCTGCAGGTCATTCATGTAATAAGACCATGGGAGCAATGATTCCCTCAATAGAGGGCACTGTTAATTCACATGACCCACTAAAAGGGAAGAGTAGGCTGTCCAGGTAATTACAGCGGGCTGTTCGTTTTTTGATCCAACACCTTCAACAAACAGATACTGTACTTTTATTTGGAAGCCCGGTGTTATTGCATATGAATCCCAAGGGTTTAGGTACCGTGGGAGTAAACTGAAAAACAGGAGACAATATAAAATACATTGATATAAGATAACTTTATGTGGTGAGTTTACATATATGTTTATAAGACTATAACAGAAACTCATAAAAAAGACATCTTTTCAAAAGTACCTGTAAAACAGGGGCTGGGGCTGTGGGGCATCCATGGTCTGCTACAGGTATGAGGCAGGGTACACCCTGGATGGGATGCCAGTCCATCGCAGGGCAGACACACAGACTCATAAACTCACACTCACACCAGGGACAATTTTTCCAGAAGCCAATCAACCTACCAGTATGTTTTTGAGTTGTGGGAGGAAACCAGAGCACCCAGAGGAATTACGAGAATATACAAACTCCACTTACCCCAGGAATAGACGCTTCATTAAAATGTTTTAAATGATTATTTTAGAAAATTCCCTGTTTGTTGTTGTTTACCTTCTTGATTCAGGTGTGGGTTACGTAAGTGGTTGTAGCATCAATTCCTTTCTTCACAGAAGAATGTATCAGGATTTCTAGTCAACTATTTGAACAATGTACAGTATAAAGGGCAACATGAGAGGATACATTAATTATTCACAAGAAAGTTTAGAAATGACAGCTACATTTTAGAGTTTTAGACTTAAAGATGCAGGAACTATTTTATATTCTTCCCAACACTGATCTAAAATGTCCATGCATTTTAAAACAATGCATTTCTCTATATTAAGTAATCTCAAACTGAGACAGAGGGGCTGTTGGTTTGTGGCATAAGAATACAACATATTAGGGTTTTTAAACTGCAAATTACTGTAGCATACTATCTATGATTGTAGCCTGCCAGCACCACCATGGAAAAAAATAGGTTAATAAAAATATGGTGTAAGACGCTTATTTCCTGTGAAAATATACTTTTCTATCAAGGACAAAAATAGTTAGTACTGAATGATTAATAAATTATTAATAGACATTAATAGACCCACCATGACACTAATGTGTACACATCTCTACAAACAATCCTTCTCCTGACATTGTTTTACCAGGTGTTAAGAACTATAGCTGAGGCATCCTTGCTGTGTAATAATAGTCATCATAATGGTGCCGGGGAAAATTACTTTTAAAAAGCAATCCATTGCAGCTTTGTGAAATTAGCAAGTAATTGGGGTCTTCAATAACAGTGCTTTATGTGGTGATTTTGTAGGTACTATGTAAAGGATTGCATTCCCTCTTAAAAAGCAATTTTTCACAACTTATTATGTTAAAAAAGATCATCCTTAATGTAATTTAATGGATAACCTAAAAGTCACTTTTATACAGCAATGATTATAATATACCAGCTGATATATAGTGTAAAGAGCTCTGTGTAGGTGTAGGTCATGTTCTAAATGTGCACGGGTAACGGTGGAAATTATTGTAAAATACAATGAGTCCTGGATATTGTAAGCCATAGCTCTTAGTTTTAGACAGGCTGCATTTTCGTTGCAGCATTATTCCTTATTTTTTTACATTAGACACATTAGACATTATTTGCAGAGCGTTAAGATTTTATGATTTTACATATATTTACACATATTTGACCTTCACCTAGTCCTAATAGTAGATAAAACTAACCTCTTTTGACGGATAACACACAAAATTCCACTTTGTAATTTATTTAAAAAAGATCAGTTAATATTCTGATAAATTAATAAATTATAATAAAATGAATAAATAGTAAATTTGCCCATGTGGTTGACACATGTTTGCCCAGTCTTGTTAATTTTTATTGTTTCAAAGAAAGAATGAATTTTAAGCAAAAAGCTGGACTAATCTAAAGTATGAGCCAAACTTTCTGAAATACAGAAACAAAACTACTGTTGAACTGCAGGAATGTAGAAAAGCTTCCATTGTTTAACTTCCCATAAAAATTGTTTTAGCCATGTAACCACTGTTATCTGAAGTCATCTATCAACAAGAGAGAGACCTATCATGGTGGTAAACCAAGTATAAAGGCCTTAACTTCCTATTCCCACAAGCCTAGAGTGTTTATCCAAGCAAAAGACCTCTAAAACTCTGGGGAGACTTGGGGGGTGGATACTGTGAATTTTCTATACTTGCAGTCCTACAGTTACCATGATCTTGTCTGATAAATACAGTATGCTTATCTGTACACTGTAGCTGCCAAAATCCACGTTGCTGAGTAATAAACAAACTGCAGAAGGCAGAGCATAAGGGTATTCAAGAGAGCAAAATACCCTTTGACATGGTTCTTTTTATTTTTTATATATGGCCAGCACATTCAGAATTTTATCCATACGCCATATCCATTTAGAAAAAAAGCAATAATAGCAAAAATAGCTATAAAATACAAAATTGATGTTCTCATTTGGTTCCACATGCTATAAGTCATAACACCTGCTACAATGTAGAAAAGCACAAAATATACAGAAAGTTTATTATAGTAATGTTGAAAGCAATATGCTTAGTATTAAATACAGGGAGGTTTAGAAATCACGCAATACTGAAGGGAAACACAAAAATGGGAAGGTACAATCCTAGAGAATATGTCACCTGTGTTCAGAACAATTTTAAATTACAGTAGCTCCATGAAAGGAAATTTAGCTTTTGACAAATCTTCAATATCAAAGCATTATAGTGATCTTAGATTAGATGAGAATAAAACAATTTCATTGCAACGTGATTTCCTAAGCCAGTGGTGTCCATATTCAGTCACTGCAAAGGTTACAGTCCTGTAGGTCTGTTGTT